GTTGGCTAGTGTAGGGTATGAACTAAGCTGGCATCCTGTATGGTTTGGTATTAGGATTTGGATGTAGAAGACCTAGGTTTAAATCCTGACTCTGCACAGTACTACCTATGTAACCTTAGACAAATCATTTCCTCTCTCTTAGCCTCAGTTTCCTCTTCTGGAGTTTCCTTTCAGATACCATAAATAGCTGTGTGACTTTGGATGAAATTACTTACCTTTCCTTCACCTTCCTCTTCCCGTGCAAGTCATTGCATCTCTCTTGGCCACAGTTTACCCTTCTTGTTTTTCCTCTCAGATACCATTAATAGCTGTGTGATCTTGGATGGAATTATTGGACTTTAGCTTCCTCTTCTATACAATAAAGGAGTTGGGCTGGATTATCTTTAAGGTCTTTTTTAAGCCCCAATGTTGTGTGGTTCCACTCCACCAGTATCACCAACAAATATGTGGATGTTTTACACAAGACCCAAGTAAGGAATCAGTCATTCTGAGACTGATTAGCATCCATTTTCCTCTCTGTTTCTCCTTACCAGAAAAAAAAATTGGTATTGGTGTGGAAACTTAGTCAGAGAAAGATGACCAGATCTTGAAAATAAGAGGGGTTGGTTGAGGATATAATGGAAAAAGCCAATTTTACAAGCATTTATTAAGTGCCTACTCTGTGTAGGCATTATACTGTATTTAGATTGTAAGCTCCTTGAGGGAAGAGACTATCTTTTGCCTCTTTTTATATCTCCATTGTTTAGCATAGTGACTGGCACAGAGTAGGCACTCATAAATATTTATTGATTGATTTATTGTTTGGTTGGTTGTTAGATGCTAGGGATATACAAAGACAAAAATAAAATTGTTCTTGCCCTCAATGAGTTTACATTTTGCTAGGAAAAAACAAGATAATAGGTAGCTCTATTTATACAGTGTTTAAGGTTTGCAAAGAGCCTTGTAAATATTTCATTTAATCCTCTCAACATTATTGAGAGGTTCTGTTATTCTACTATTCTATTATTATCTATTCTATTCTATTATTCTATTATTATCATCCTCATTTTGTAGATTGAGACAGAAAGAAATGATATGACTTGCCCAAGGTGACAAAGATAATAAATGTTGAAAAGGGATTTGAAGTCAGGTATTCCTGACTCCAGGTTGGCCCTATTCATTGTACCACCTAACTGTGTCTAGATAAGGCTAGATAAGTTGCTGAGTGTATACGAAGTGATTTCCTGGAGGGGAAGTGGAGAGCACTAACAACCGGAGGCATGAAGAAAGACCTTGTGTAGTAGGTGACTCATGAACTGAGTCTTGAATAGAGATAGAGATTCAGCAAAATTGAGGCAAAGGGAGAGAAATCCTGTGTAGAGAGATGGAGGTCATTTTTCTGGTCATGTCTGACTCTTCATGACCCCATTTGGGGTTTTCTTGGTAAAGATATGAGAATGGTTTGCCATTTCCTTCTACAGTTCATCTTATAGATGAAGGAAATTGAAGCAAACAGGTTAAGTGACTTGCCCAGGGTCACACAGATAGTAAGTGTCCGAGGCCAGATTTGAACTCAGGAAGAGGAGTCTTCTTGACTGGAGGTCTGTCACTTTATCCACTGAACCACCAAGTAGCTAGGAGAGAGGTGGAGGAGTTAGAAAATGAAATAGCTTGAGTGTGTGGAACAACAACAAAACCAAAACAATTTGACTAGAATGTAAAGTACGTGAAAGGAGAGAATGTGAAATCAGTCTGGAAAGATAGATTGGAGTCAAATTGTGAAGGGCTTCAGAGGGCCAGCAGAGGAGTTTGTTGCTGATTGATAGTCAGGCAATAAGTCAGCCACTGAATCTTCTTGAGTGATGGGGTTAGATCTATGCTTTAAGAATGCCAAACTGGCATTGATGTAAAGAATGGATTGTAGACAGGAGAGATTGGACATCAATGCGTGGTGATGATGGGACAGTGGAGAGAAGGATGAGAATTATTGTGGAGGTACAACTTACAAAACTTCACAATTAATTTGCCATGGAGAGTGAAGAAGGACCTGAAGTGGGGAGCCTGGTGGATTAGAAGGATAATGGTACCATTGATAGAAAGAGGGGGAAGGTTAGGGAAGTGTAATAAGTTATGTTTTGAATGTGTTGAGTCTGAGATGCCTGTGTGATCTATCTACATAGACTAAAGCTTCGGAGAGAGATGAGGACAGGATACCTAGATCTGGGTAAAGCTATATGGAGATGACAATGGAACCCATGGGAGCTAATGAGATCACCAAGAGGTATAAGAACCATACAAAACAGTCAGGACTTGGGTGATGGTCCACCTAAGGAGACTGAGAAGGAATGGTCATACTGGTAGGAGACTCACAGGAGAACAGTATCTTGAAGACCAGGCAGGAGAAAGTATCCAGGAGGAGGGGGTAGCCAACAGTGTCCCGCTTCAGAGGAGTCAAGAAGCATGGGGCTGAAGGAAAGACCACTGTATTTAGTGATTAAAAGATCATTGGTGACTTTGGAAGCAGCCTGCAGAGGACAGAGAAGTGAGTGGGGTCTAGGAGTTTTCTAGAGAGTCACATGAAATGGTAGCTTTTACACAGCAGGGGCAGGAGGAAGATGGTAGGGTCATATGTAGGCATTTTTTTTTTAAATTATAGGGGAAACCTCAGCATGGTAAGTAACTTAATCTTTCTGGGTCTTGGTTTCTACATCTGTAAAATGAAGGGGTTAGACTTAATGCCCTCTAAGATCATTTTCATATCATGATCATGTGATTATAGGCAACAGGTAAAGAGCCAATAGATGAATAGAGATTGAAGATTACAAAGAGAGATGAAATGATTGAAATATGAGCTCCCACAGAAGACGGGAGTCAGCCAGTTAACTAGTATTTATTAAGTATGTACTATGTGCTGGGTCCTGTGCTAAGCATGGAAGATATAAGGAAATGCACCCTTAATTTTCCCCTCCTTTCCCATAAAAAACTAGTCCCTGCTCTCAAGGAGATTATAGTGTAACCCTGGGCAACTCACTTAATCCTTTTTGCCCCAGTTTCCTCATCTGTAATAAGGTGGGTCCAAGTTGAAAGGCTGACTTGGCTAAGAGAACTACCTTTTCTTCCAAGACTTGAGCAAAGGAGTAAAGAATGGGGAAAGATGTTGAGGAGAGGGACAAGTTCCTAACTGATGGTCTTCATTTTTTGTGTCAAGTATCCATAACCTGACTTCTTCCTACCTTTCTGGTCTTCTCTCCTTCATTAGACTATTAGTACCTTAAGAGCAGTCTTTGTAAGGTAAAAACTTTCTTTGTAACCCCGGTGCTTAAAGCAGTGCCTGACACATACAGTGCTTAATAAATGTTTGTTGACTCATTGGTTGTCAGTCAACCTCTGTAATCCAGCTATTCTAATCTTTTTGTAGTTCCTTGAGCACAATCCTTCGTTTCCTGTCTTCACATTTTTGTACTGGCTGTCGCTTATGCTTGGGCAGCTAGGTGGTGCAGTGGATAGAGCACAAGGCCTGAGATACTTAATAGTTGTGTGACCCTGGGCAAGTCACTTAACCCTGTTTGCCTCAGTTTCCTCATCTGTAAAATGAGCTGGAGAAGGAAATGTCAAATCACTCCAATATCTTTGCCAAGAAAACCCCAAATGGGGTCATGAAGGGTTGGACATGACTGAAACTGCTGAACAGCAACATGCTTAGAATGCTCTGTCCTCACACCTCCACCTCTTCATTTCACAGGCTTCCTTCAAGATTTAGATCAGGTGACACCTTCTGCGGGAAACCTTCCTGGATCCCCCCAGGCTGTTCTAGCTTTCCCCACAAGTTTGCCTTCTATCTGCTCTGTATATATCTTATGTGTACTTGTTTACATAATTACCATGAGGACCTGGAAGATAACACACACACACACACGCATAGATATGTGTGTGTGTGTGTGTGTATGTATGTGTGTGTATCATCCATAGATCTGGAAGGACAATATACATAATATTAGTATATATATATCATTATATATAGTACATAATCTAATTGAATATCATATGTAATTGTAATATATATTATATTTATATATAATATGTAATATAATTGTATACACATACAGAGGCCTAGATCTATTTTATTCCAGTTAACACCTGGAATAAAAGTCATTGTAAATCTTTTAAAACTTTGTGTAACTTTGTGTGGTATGATGAAAGGAACACTGAATAGCCCAAGAGACCTGAGTGAATCCTGACTCTGACACTCAGTAGCTGGCCCTGGTAAGGTCAATTCACCTCCTTCGGCATCAGTTTTCTCATCTCTAAGGTGGAAATAATAATGGTTTTACTACATACCTCAGAGGGTTGTTGTGAGGAAAGTTCTTTATAAATGTTAAGTACAAATGTGCTTTATTTGTTATTTTTATTATTTTTTTTTACCAGCGCACACACAAATACACACATACGTACGCATAAACATTTCCCTAACTCCCCATATACATACACGCACAGATACATACATACACAGTGGGAGATGTTGCAACCTTAGAAAACTCCAGAAGGGCTGAATATTGCTTCAAGGTCAGGAGGGTGGGAGAAAAATTGTGAGATATGTCTCATGGTTCTAGAAAGGGAGAGAACCCCAGGAAAGAACAGGAAGGGAGCAAGCACTTAGTTTTGGAGGCAGCATAATTCGAGTATATATTTGTATAATATTGGAAAAATCATCCAGCCTCTTTAGCCTCAGCTCCCTCTGAGATTTCTTCCAGCTCAGCATCTATGATCCATCCAGAGAAAAGCCATGTGGCAGAGGCAGAGGCAGAGCCTGGGACAGAGAAGTATCAATTCAACTTTAGTTTAACAAACTTTTGACTCTGTGTAAGACCCTGTGTCCCGGGAGCTTGCCCTTCAGCACACCCTGTACATGGACAGTCACTCCGTTGTTTTATCATTAGGTCCCAGTTTGTGACAGTTTGGAAGTCTAATTCATCCCTTTCTGTCTTTGTTCTTATTTCATTGGTTGGTCTTGATACCCTCAGGTCGGGGACCAGATCCTGGAAGTTAACGGGAAGAGTTTCTTGAGCATTCCTCACGATGAAGCCGTCAAGCTGCTGAAGTCATCGAAGCATCTCATCATGACAGTGAAGGATGTGGGGAGGCTGCCCCACGCCCGAACCACCGTGGATGAGACCAAGTGGATTGCCAGCTCCCGGATCGGAGAGACGCTGGTGAACTCAGCAGGGTCTGTTACTGGTGCTTTCTTGCCCACAGAGGCATTTCTGGAAAGTAGTGCAGGTTCTCACAGTTCCTGTACCCTGTGCAATGAGCTATGCTCTCCAGAGACTGTGAGTCTCTGACTGGTTACTGCCTATGACAGGCAAGATCTTTAGGAGAGTGGGGCGTTGTGCTGTAACTAGGAGCATACTGATTCTGAAGTTAGAATCCTCAATCTGTCATTTGTTACCTAAGGTAATATGGACAAGTCATGGACCTTAATTTTTTTCATTTGTAAAAAGAGGGTTGGATTAGACACTCATCTTTTGGTCCCCACTCTAAATCTGGTAATGGTAAATGATGATTATCTTCTCCAACTCCCCTGTACTTCTCTTCTGAGCCTCAGTTTCCTCATATATAAAATGAATCTTGCTTTTTTTGTATCCTCAGCATTTATCACAGTGCCTGGCATACAATAAGTACTTGATAAGTTTATTGATTAGTTGATTAATTGATATCTACCTCAACAGGGTTACTTATAAAGATGAATTGAAACAATATCTTTAAAAAACTTTGTAAATCTGAAAGTGCTGTATCAATGTCAGCTCTTATTATTATCAATCATCATTCTCTGGCTTGGATTTAAATCATAAGAGCCTTCATTACATATTCTGAAATTTACCCGACTCCCTATTCTTAGCTGATAGAATGTAATCTCCTTGAGGACGGGATGGTTTCACGTTTGTCTTTGATTCTCCAGTACTTAGTGCAGTGCCTGGCATATAGCAGACCCTGAATAAATGCTTGCTAATTCATTAATTGTGTCCACAGTAACCTACAATTCAGTAACCCTCAAGACTAAGAGCCTAGTTATCCAGGCCCAGAATCTTAAGAGCTTATTTCCTGGAAACCAATGGAAATTCATCTTCCTTTGAAGTAGAAGTGGCCTTACCAAAGAAAAGCAATTTTCTCTGGCCAGGCCACTTTGAGCTGTTTGAAGGATGCTAAGAATTGTTATCTTTATTTGCAGGATACCTGGGGATCTCACAGGAGAAGGGCCAGCAAAGGTAAGAAGTTCTCTTCTGAGGATTTGAACAACAATAAAAAAAGGTCCTTTCTTTAGCTGGTGTTTAATCAACAGAAGTTGATTTATTCCTATCAGTTCTTAATTGGTTTGATCATTTTCTTTTCAGAGCTGTTTTGGTGCACCCTGGGCAACATCAGATAAGAGATCACATTTGGCCAGTTCTCTGACTCTTTCTGTCTTAAGACATTTATTGGATTATCAAGTTACTTTTATCTTGGCCTTCCCATCCCTGAACTACCCTTCATGGGTGGTTGGTTAATGGGGCTCTTGAAAGTGCCCCCTATGAGTCAAGGTCTCTGGGGAAGCTTTGAGAGGAGTTTCTCAGGAAGGAATCCATTTCTCAGGTTAATCTCTAGGGAAAGCTGTGCTGCCTAAATATTTGGAGGAGGAAGGAGATGAGTATTTTTTAAGGGTGAACGGAAATGAGCTTTAATTTGAGATGCTGGGACAAGAACGTATGTGATCCTGCTTCAACTTGTTATGGAGGTTTTTTCCCTTCTTTGGAATCCTGATGCCTTATCCTGGCTTGGAGATGGCCCTAGCTTCTCAGATCCCAAGCCAATGGGGTGCAGTTTCTGTTAGATCCTGCCAAATTCTGAAGAGGCTTCAAGTACAAGGAAACCTCCCTTGTAGTTCTCTCTTTTTTTTTTTCCTGTGGACCTTGCTAATGTGGTCAGCATGCATTGTTTCATGTCTGTGTATGTGCTATATGATGAGGTAGAAAAGAGTGCTTGAGGCAGATGGAGCAAGAAGGACATGAGATAGAAGATAAGATGCAGGATGTGACCAGACAGAAAAGTGGTCAAAGAAGACTGTGCATTGAAGCCTCCGCCATGGACTTACCTGTGTGCTTTCACAAAGCACCCTCAATTTCAGAACAACTCTTCCCCTCCCCTTTCTTGTTCTCTTTACTTATCACCTCCAGACTACCTGATGTCCCAGGCATTTCGGAGCCATTCTTGCTCTTCCCGTTCTCTTATCCCCTTTCCCCTATTCCATAAAATTTTATTTAAACTGTATCTTTGACCTCTCTAACCACCTTTGCCTCCTATGAAAAGCAGGGGCTGGCCACTCTGCTCCCTTAGGGGAGCAATGCCTTAGGGGAACAGGGCCTGTGGCCTATGCTCTGCCTCACATGTGGAGTAGAGCCCATTGGGCCTCTGCCTCACAAAGAGCAGGCCTGCTTGGGTACATCACCCCAAAAAATGCCTTTCTTTAGCTTGGAGACTCTCAGTGAATTCTTTTAGGATGCTAGGACCCACCCGCTTATTCCTCATCATTTCAGGTACCACTCCAACATTCTTAGGGTCCGCCCTGAACTTATCACTCATGGCTACAGAGAAGGTCTAAGTGAATTCTTTCACACCTGAATCAGCTCTTCCAACTCTAACCTCAGTGCTCTATATCCCCCAACTAAATGTCAAGCTTCATGAGGGCAGGGACTGGGCCTTATCGAAGCTTTGGATGTCCCACCAGTGCACAGTGTTCTGCCTACTTTAGAAACTCAGTAAATGCTTATTGTATTGAATCAGGCATACCAATGGCCACTACGTCCAAGAGGGCAGAATTTGGAGCTGTGGGTAGAAATTACCAAGGTAGATTTTGGCTGAATGTGCTGAAAAACTTCCTACCAATTAGAGTCGTCCAGAAGCAGGATGGGCTGCCTCAGGAGGTAGCAGACTTTCCTTTGCCGCAGGGTCTTCAAGTAGTGGCTGGGTGATTGGATGTTCATTGGGCACATTGCAGAAGAGATTTCTGCTCAGCTGAGGATTAAACTGAGGTCTATTCTAAGTGTGAGACACTGTGATTCTCTTACCCTCTAAGTTTTGACATTCTCATTACTACCAAGTGATGTTTTTTTGGGGCTATAGTTGTTCACAAAGCCCATGCACTGACTCGTGGAGGAATTATTGCAGCCTGCCTTGGGGGAGGAAGTGCCCTCACTCAGTGAAATCATCAACCCTTGAAGTGTTGAAGAAAGTAGAGAAGTTTTAATTTTTTTAGTCACTTTTTGTGATAATAATAACTCACATTTCCATAGCACCTTCGATTTATAAAGTATTTTCCTCGTAAGATAAGTAGCATCAGTATTATTAGCCCCATTTTAGAGAGTAAGAAAGTATAATCATGGCTAAGACTTCAGTAGTGCTTTACAGTTGCAGAGCATTTTACATAAATTATCTCATTTGATCCTCACGGCAGGCCCTTGAGATGATCAGGATAGGTGTTATGAAACCAATTTTACAGAAAAAGAAGTTGAGGTTCAGATAAGTAAGGCACATATACCATAGGTCAAGGATTCTCCCATTCTCTTTGGGTTTGGAAGATGCATTTAGCCACTGCTGACATTTGAATTTGCCTTCTAGAAACTTGTAAGAGGAAAAGGACTTATATGTGAGAAAATAGTTATAACAGCTTTTTTTGTGGTGGCAAAGAATTGGAAACTGAGGGGATGCCCTTAAGTTGGGGAAGGGCTACACAAGTTGTGGTGTCTGATTGTGATGGAATACTATTGTGCTATAAGAAATGACAAGGGGGATGGGTTCAGAAAAACCCAGGAAGACATATGAATTGATGCAGAGCGAAGCAAAAATCCCAAATGGGGTCACGAAGAGTCAGATATAACTGAAAAGACTGAACAATAACAACAAAGTGAGCAGAAATGGGAGAAGGTTTTAGAGGGTAACAGTAATATTATAAAGATGATCAACTATGAAAGACTTGGCTAGTCTGATCAATACAGTGATCCAAGACAATTCCAATTCCTCATGATGAAAAATACTATCTACATCCAGAGAGGGAACTAATGCACTTTAGGTGCAGATTGAAGCATACTTTTTTTTCATTTTCTTGCTTTTTTTTTCAACATGGCTAATACAAAAATATATTTTGCATGACTTTATATGTAGAATTGATTTCATATTGCTTGCCTTCTCTCAGGGTGGGGAAGGGCTAGAGGAAGAGAATTTGGAGCTCAAAACTTTCTTAAAAAACAAATGTCAAATAAATTATTTTTTAAAAAGAAAAAATAATAGAAGCTTATAGGCAAGCAGTGGCATTAGCCAGCTTGCTTAATTTAATGTTAATGCCTAGTGTGGTCTGTTAAAACCAGTATGTGGACAAATGGAAGCCATGGCGAAGTGGGCAGGGCAGAGCTGACATAGGTTTGGGGGAGCCACCTTTAATTTTGTCTGTAATAGGGACACTTTGATTATCTGGATCTAAAGTCATAGGGTCTGTGCAGAGGTAGATGATGCTCCAAATCCATTAACATGGGTAATAAACTGAGGTGCTATAGATAGATTCCCTAAAACATTACCAGTCTGTGTCTCCTCCTCCCCTCCAGCTTCTCCTTCCATCTCCCTCATCTTTATTTCAGTCCTTTCTTGCTCTATTTCTTTTATGGCTTCTCTCTGCCAAGTTAATACCTAGGCCCTGGGTGTGTTCCAGTAATCTTACCCAGAGTTTGTAAATGTCTGTAGGAGGCATTCTTCATGGCCTTAGAGGTGGCTGGAACTTCAAGGTCAGCCTCCAAACCACCCATCCTTAACGAGATTAAGTAAATCTCAGATGCCCAGGTCATATCAGAATTATAGGGTCTGGGCCAGAAAAGCCATTTTAGTAATCCTTACCCTCATGCTTTCTCCCTGCCCCCCAATCCCTGTGAGGATGCTAGGTTGGCTCTAGCTATTGTCTATGAAGTTATCTCAGTGCTAGAAAGAAAATGTTTCTCTCAGTCTTGTAACATCTTTATGCCAGTACTCTGAACTTTATCCCCCAAAGAACTTTGGTTTAGTAAGAATTTAGGCCAGCTGTCTTTTTTTTCTTTTTAAATTGATTTTTAAAAATTAGCAAGCATTTATTTTTTCCTCCTCCTCTCCTACACACATTGAGAAGGAAAAAAGAAAATCAAAACCCTAGCAACAAATATGCATAACTAAGCAATCCAAAAACATCTATCTCATTTTGCATTTTGAGTCCATCTTCTCTCTGATCTGAGTTCCTGTTAGTCCACTCTTAATTATCTATGCTTTTAGAGGAATGTTAGTGGTATGGATAATTGAAAAACTAGGACTAATCTCAAACTACAAATAATCTAAAACCCATTTCTGTTTGGCTCTGTGATAAAAACTATATAATTTTTGTAACAGAAGCAGACTCATCTTCGTAATTATATTTGGCTTAATAAGACTTTATTTGAAGGGGCAGCTAGATGGCGCAGTGGATAGAGCACCGACCCTGAATTCCGGAAGACCTGAGTTCAAATTCGGCCTCAGACACATAACACTTACTAGCTGTGTGACGCTGGACAAGTCACTTAACCCTATTGCCTAGTCAAAAAAAAAAGAAAAAAGAAAAAAAAAAGAAAAAAAAGAAAAACCTATCTGTGGCCCAAAGAAATTTAAAAAGGGGCAGGTAAGTAGCGTAGTGAATAGAACACCTGCCCTTAAGTCAGGAGGACCTGATTTCAAATCCGGCCTCACACCAAACACTAGACACTTACTGGCTGTGTGACCATGGGCAAGTCACTTAACCCCAATTGCCTAAACAAACAAAAAAAAAGACTTTATTTGACCTTAGCTGAAAATGAGTTTGCATTTCCTGAGACCTCACTTGCCTCTTTGCCTATTCTCTTCCTTCTGAACCATCCTTCACACAACTGCCAGAAACACCTTCCTAATGCACACGTCTGACCATGCCACTCCCCTGCTTAAAGATATTTAGTGGCTCCCTATTACCTTTAGAAGAAAATACAGATTTTTTAGCCAGCTTTGACGGTCCTCTACATTCTGACTGCAGCCTATCCTTCCATCTTTATTTCATAGAATTCACCTTTTCACACTCATTGTCCAAGTCAAACTAGACTGTTGATTATTCCCTAATCTTGCCTTGCCATCTTCTGCCTCTATTCGGATGTATGGGTTGTACTCCATGCCAGGAATGCACTCATTCCTTATCTCTACCTCTTCTTCTTCATCA